TGGAGACCTGGAAGAAGCTCCTGGTTCCTGGCTCCTGGCTTCAGATGGGCACAGCTCCAGCCGTTGTGGCCAACTGGAGAGTGAACCATTGGATCAAAGACCTCTCTCTCTCTCTGCCTCTCCTCTCTCTGTGTAACTCTGACTTTCAAATAAATGAATAAATCTTTAAAAAAAAAAAAAAGAAAAGAAAAATAAATAAAAGGCATCCCTATTGGAAGGACAGAAGCAAAATTTCCCCCTTTTACAGATTATATGGCCTTATATATAGAAAATAATAAAAAATCCACAAATAAACTATTAGGTATAGATTAAAAATTGTTTTCCTATATACTAGCAGTGAACATTCCATAAATGAAATTAAGGACACATTGTTTAAAAAGAATTAAACCTTCAGAAAAATACAAAAAGGAGAACAAGACATACACTATAAACTAAAAAATACTGTTGAAGAAAATTAAAGAAGACCTGAATAGATGAAAACACAACTCATGTTCATTAATTGGAAAACTAAATATTGTTAAATGGCAACAAATTCATCTACCAATCCAAGGCAATTCCTATACAAATTCCAGATTTGGACAGAAACTGAAAAGTTAACCCTATAATTCAAGCAGAAATGCAAGGGACCCAAAATAGTCAAAACAACCTTCAAAAATAACTAGTACCGCTCCAGCATCCCATTTCAGAACACCAGTTGGAGTCCTGGCTGTTCCACTTCCAATCCGGCTTCCTGCTAATGTGCCTTGGAAAGCAGCAGAAGACGGCCCAATTACTCAGGCCCCTCCAAACCCATTTGGAGTTCCCAAATGGAGTCCCTGGTTCTTGGTTTTAGCCATTTGGTGATGAAATGAGCAGATAGAAGATATCTTTCTCTGTCTCTCCTTCTCTCTCTGAATATAAAGTATATCTTAAAAAGAATGAATGAATGAATGAAAGAGAAAAGAGAAGAGAAGAGAAGAGAAGAGAAGAGAAGAGAAGAGAAAAGAAAAGAAAAGAAAAGAAAAGAAAAGAAAAAAGAAAAGAAAAGAAAAGAAAAGAAAAGAAAAGAAAAATGGGGCCAGCACTGTGGCGTAATAGTTTAAGCCTCTGCCTGCGGTCCCAGCATCCCATATGGGCGCTGGCTTGTGTCCTGGCTGCTCCTCTCCCTATCCAGCTCTCTGTTTATGGCCTGGGAAGGCAGAGGAGGATGGCCCAAGTGCTTGGACCCCTGCACCCATATGGGAGACCAGAAGAAGCTCCTGGCTCCTGGCTTTGGATCAGCCTAGCTCTGGCTGTCATGGTCACTGGGGAAGTGAACCAGCAGATGGAAGGCCTTTTTCTCTGTCTCTCCCTCTCTCTATCTGTAATTCTGCCTCTCAAATAAATAAATAAATTCTTAAAAAAAAAAAAAAAGAAAAAGAACAAAGTTGGACTCATATTCCCAATTTCAAAACTTTCTATACAGCCACAGTAATCAAGACCAAGCTGTATTGGCCTACAGATATCACAAGGATCAATTAATTTTCAACAAGAGTCCCAGTACAATTCAATGAAGAATAGCCTTTTCAATATGTGGTTATTAGACAACTGAATATCCACATGTAAAACATAATAAAACTGGATTCCTTCTTCTTTACACCATACACAAAAATTTACTCCAAATGGATCAAAACCTTAAAAGAGCTAAAACCACAAACTACTGGGGGAAAAACAGGTGTAACTTTGGATTAAGCAATGATTTCTTTGATATAACACCAAAAGCACAAACATTCAAAGAAAAAACTGGATGAAAATGTCACCAATATTAAAAACTCTAGTGTTTCAAAAGGTAATTCTAAGAAAGTGAAAATGACAATCCATATAATACAGAAAACATTTGCAAATCATGCATCTGATAAAGCTATAGTATCTAAAATACAAGGGTACTACAAAAAGATTTTCAAAAACACAGTTAAGTTTTAAGCTTATTTTGATGCAAAAACTTTTTGAAATCTATGCATATGAAGAGTCTTTAAAACTGTATATAAAGAAGTGAAATTGACAATGAGATGCGATGACTTTGAACATCCCTTGCCAGTTTTTTTCATAATAATATAGAGTTAATCTTATGTTTATAAAGTTAATTGAAAATAGATCTTAGTAAAAAATAAGAATGGGAATAGGAAAGGGAGGAGGAAAAAGGGTAGAAGTGGAGGTAGGGTGGGAAGAATCACTATGTTCCTAAAATTGTATTTATGAAATGCATGAAGTTTATATACCTTGTATAAAAGGTTTCTGGGAAAAAAATAAATAAAAATAAATTAAGAATCACAGTTGACTCTCCAAAAAAAACTTATATAAAATCTGTATTATGAAAAAGCTATGCATAAATTTCAAAATGTTTGCACCAAAATAGACTTATCTTTTAATTCCATTTCCCCATGAATTTTTTGAAGTATACTTGCATATAAAGAATACTTATGACTCAGTAATAAAAAGATAGCAAAATGGATATGAACAGACACAAAGGATATTTTTTAAATATTCAAGCAGAGTTTAGTGAAAAGAAATAATGACGAGTCCACCTGACAAACCAGTCAGGTATCTCAGTAAACATCCGAGAGCCCAGCCTGCATTCAGACTGGAGTTTTTACGGATTTCAGAATGGGCCCTCTCCTCTCTTCAAAGGATCTTGATAGAGACATTTCTGTAAAGAAGACATACAAATGGATCAGGAAGCATATGGGAACGTGTTCAACGTAACTGATCAAGAGAAATGCAAATTAAAGCTACAGTCAGATACCACTTCACATCCACTGGGGTGGCTATAATCCAGAGATGGACAATAACAAGTGTTGGTGTGGATTTGGAGAAACTGGAACCCTCCATACCCTGCTGGGGAGAATGTAGATCACCACAACTACTGTGGAAATTACTCAAACTGTTAAAAATGGACGTATCTTACAACTCAGCAATTCCACTTTTAGGTATATACCCAGGAGAAATAAAAATATATGTATATACATAAACATACATACACACACACACATGTGCACACAAACTTGAATACAAATGTTCATAGCAGCATTATTCATAACAGCTAAGAAATAGAAACAATCCAGATGCTGCTCATCTTATGAACAGATAAACAATTGTGGTATGTCTATACAATGGTCTTTTTAATCCAAAAGAAAATGTAGTATTAATTCTATTACAACATGGATAAATCTTAATACATTGTAGCAAATGAAAGAAGGCCACATGCATGATTCCACTTATTGAAAACGCCAGAAATAAACAATTCTGCAGAAACAGAGAATAAATTAGTGTTTTTCAAGGACTAAAGGAAAGAGAGAAAGGGGAGTCACTTTTAATTTGATATAAGGTTTATTTTGAGTGATAAAAATGGTCTGCCATTAAACAAGATGAATAAGACATTTTTAATGTTCCAGAATCAGTGGGATTGCACAAACTCAAGAATATATTAAAACCCACTGAGTTGCATATTTAAAACAGTGAACTTTATGACATGTGGATTATATCTCCAAAAAATTTAAAAAGAAAAGGGCATTTCCTGCTTCTGAAACCTTAGCCCTCCTCCATGGAGGCAAAAGCAGTTACATGTCTCTTAGGTACCATTCCTGAAGTAGAGCATGTAAATAAAAATATATATGGACCTGTGAGAATCTTCTTAGAGAAATATGAGCATAGCAGAACATTGTTTTGGATTTTTCCCCTTCTTTACAATATAACTTCAAGATCATTCCCCTTTACCATATAACTTGGAGATAATTCCATTTTAGCATAAAGAAGTACTCTTAACTTTTTAGTGTTGATATTCTATTATTTAGTTGGCTAGTTGTTTTTTTGTTTTTTTTTGTTTTTTTTTGTTTTTTTTTGACAGGCAGAGTAGACAGTGAGAGAGACAGAGAGAAAGGTCTCCCTTTCCCTTGGTTCACCCCCGAAATGGCCGATACGGCCGGCGCACTGCGCCAATCCGAAGCCAGGAGCCAGGTGCTTCCTCCTGGTCTCCCATGGGGTGCAGGGCCCAAGCACTTGTGCATCTTCCACTGCCTTCCCGGGCCACAGCAGAGAGCTGGACTGGAAGAGGAACAACCGGGACAGAATCTGGTGCCCCAACCGGGACTAGAGCTGCGGCGGCAGTCAGTTGGCTAGTCTTCTAATGTCACCAAAATTTTGCAACTTATCTCCTTGTATATAATATCTAAGTGGCACACAGTTAAGTTTCTGGTTTAAAATGTGTTTTTCTTATTTTTATTTTGATAAACTATCAACTGCTTTAAAGTTTCTCTTGTTAGATTATGAGGTCCCTGAAACAGGATCTATGTCTGTCCTTTACCAGGGTACATACAGATTCCAGCATATTCTCTGACATACTGCTTCATAAATATGTAGATTGACAAGGTTGTGTATTTTGTTGCACAAAGTATTAAAAGGAAATTTAACATTATCATTCAATAAACCATGATACAACTTATAGAGATAGGAATTATTTGTGAGTTTCTTTTTTCTTGTTTTGCTTTTTATCCAGTTATTTGCTTTTTATTTTTCTTTTCTACCTCCAGGATTTTTTTCAAAAACTTTTGGATAAATTGCAATGTAAGAGAGAATACTTAATTTCATCTAAATATATCAGTATGTTTTACGAAATATATGCATCTGTCTCATATTTCAGCACTGTGTATTTCAGCTATTTTTTAAAAAAGGAGGAAGATGGTGTGATTTATAAATTTAAGAAATTTAACAGCGACACCTGCTGGAAATGTTAGCAAAATAAATTTGACCCATTAAATCTGAAATTTTAGAACAGTTTTATGTCTAGGAATATATTTGTTATTTTACTATTGGAGTGTTTGTAACTATATATATTTATATGTATAAATATATATTTATATATAAATATATAATATATAATAAATATAAATATATAATAAATAAATATATAAATATATATATAAAGTTCACAGGAGGCTCCTTGATATTCTACAAAAGGATGGATAAAATATGTTTCCTTTTTTCAGGATAAAGTAATTCTGGGAACAGATTACCCCTTTCCACTAGGTGAGCTGGAACCTGGGAAACTGATAGAGTCTATGGAAGAATTTGATGAAGAAACAAAGGTACATGCCTTTTACTTCAAGGTCTCCTTCCTGTAATTCCCTGCTCTAATTGGGTTTGGGTTCAGAACACTTGGAAATATGGTAACAAAACACAGAGGAACCATTACACTTAATAGCCCTACAACTATTACCTTGTCTCCAAAAATAGCTAAACTACTTCAGAGCATGGGAACATAAAATAGCTGAAAGTCAGCACAGCAGATCTCAATTCTGGACACCAAGGACCAAAGGTATGAGGAACCATATCATAATAATCTTGCATATTAAGATGGATCATGAGAAAAATGCCTAAATTATTACTTTAATATTTCTGTTACAAATCAATCTCTCGAGTTATATTGACACTAGTTACATAGATAGGGATAATAAAGTCTCAATAACAAGGACCTAAGAAATCGCAGTCCCCAAGATTGTGTGCTGGGGGGTGTGGGTGTGTTTATGACTTTGAAGGTGGATAAAAGATACTAACATGTGGTGTAAGGCTACCACTATTATTCTACTCCATAGGCTCCTGAATCATGAGTTTACAATGAGAGGCAGAGTCCTCGGATTACCTCCCCTCTGCCATCCCCTTCCCCACTCCATTCTAAAAATAAATAAATAAATAAATAAGTTCTTCCTAAGGACTTCATTGGCAGTCACTATCTCATCAGAGGTCAGAGATGGTCTAAAATGAGACTATGGGGATAAACTCTTAATAAATCTTATAAAAGTCTTAGTCATAAGCCTTTTACATAATTCTTGGCTTTCTTCTAAATTTATAATCCAGAAGTTGCCTTGAACTCTCTGCTTTAACCATTAGAGAAATACCTCATTAAATTTTCTCAACAGGCTTGAACACATGAACAAATGACAAGAGTTCATGTTGATCTATGCCAGGTGCTAGTTCCAAGTTGTTAACTGGAAAAACACCTTAGTATTTCACACAGAAGTATCCCCTCCAGAACTGACTCATCTTTAGGCACTGAAAGTCTTGCATTGTCAAACATTTACCTATAAATTAAGAGGTTGTATTAAGATGTTTTTAATTTTTTTAAGATTTATTTGTTTATTTGAAAGGCAGAGTTACAAGAGGCAGAAGGAGAGAGAGGTGGGGGAGGGAGAGGGAGAGGGAGAGGGAGAGAGAGAGAGAGAGAGAGAACCTCCATCCACTGTTTCCGTCCCCACATGGTCACAACAGCCGCAGCTGGGCCAGGCCAAAGCCAGGAGCCAGGAGCTCTGTCCTGTTCTCCCACGTGGGTGGCAGAGGCCCAAACATCTTCTGCTGCTTTCCAGGTACATTAGCAGAGAGCTAGATCAGAAGTGGAGCAGCCAGGACTCAAACCAATGCCCATATGGAATGCTGGCACTGCAGACAGCAGCTTTACCCACTATGCCACAATGCTGGCCCCAAAATGTTTTTAATTTTTTACAACAAATGTTGAAAATGAAAAAAGTTACCCAAAATTAAGCAGAGATCAGATTACCTCAAATTCCCTGATTAACAATTTAATGGAATAATAATTATTATTTTATGCCTTTATTGTTTCTTATGTGCTTGTCCCTCTCAAGTTTTTTTTATATAAAAATATTATACTGTCACAAATTCACAATGACATTCTATACAAGGTAACTCATTGTAACACTGGAATAAAATTCTGGAAGCAGCATTTATAAATAATAGATCATACAGTAGAATCTATGCAGCCATAGAAATATTAGAAATAAATTTCTGGCTGGCGCCGCGGCTCAACAGGCTAATCCTCCGCCTTGCGGTGCCGGCACACCGGGTTCTAGTCCCGGTCGGGGTGCCAGATTCTGTCCCGGTTGCCCCTTTTCCAGGCCAGCTCTCTGCTGTGGCCCGGGACAGCAGTGGAGGATGGCCCAAGTGCTTGGGCCCTGCACCCCATGGGAGACCAGGAGAAGCACCTGGCTCCTGCCTTCAGATCAGCGCGGTGCACCAGCCGCAGCACGCTGGCTGCAGTGGACATTAGAGGGTGAACCAACGGCAAAGGAAGACCTTTCTCTCTGTCTCTCTGTCTCTCACAGTCCACTCTGCCTGTCAAAAAAAGGAAGGAAGGAAGGAAGGAAGGAAGGAAGGAAGGAAGGAAGGAAGGAAGGAAGGAAGGAAGGAAGGAAGGAAGGAAGGAAGGAAGGAAGGAAGGAAGGAAGGAAGGAAGGAAGGAATTTATTTCCAGGGGCCGGCGCCATGGCTGACTTGGTTAATCCTCCACCTGTGGTGCCGGCATCCCATATGGGCGCTGGGTTCTAGTCCCAGTTACTCCTCTTCCAGTCCAGCTCTCTGCTGTGGCCCGGGAAGGCAGTGGAGGATGGCCCAAGTGCTTGGGCCCCTGCACCCACATGGGAGACCAGGAGGAAGCACCGGCTCCTGGCTTCAGATCGGCATAGTTCCAGCTTTAGCGGCCATTTCAGGGGTGAACCAACGGAAGGAAGACCTTTCTATCTGTCTTTCTCTCTCTCACTATCTAACTCTGTCAAATAAAATAAAATAAAATAAAATAGAAATTTCCAGGGGCTGGTGTTGTGGCGTACTGGGTAAAGCTGTCACCTGCAATGCCAGCATTCCACCTGGGCACCATTTTAAGTCCAACCTGCTCCACTTCTGATCTAGCTCCTTGCTAATGTACCTGGAAAGCAGCAGAAGATAACCCAAGTATTTGAGCCCCTGCCACCCACGTGGGAGAACAGGACAGAGCTCCTGGCTCCTGGCTTTGGCCTGGCCCAGCTCTGGCTGTTGCAGCCATTTGGGGGAGTGGACCAGAAGATGGAAAATCTCTCTCTGTGTGTCTCCCCATTCTCTGTTTGTTTTTCAAATAAAAAAATATTTATTTTAAAAATTAGATAAACCCATTTGATGAGCACAGCAACACTGGGAGGCCCATAGGCAGTGTGCCCTACCACAGAGATGTGAAGGAAGAAAAAAAACCTTGGAGGTTGAGTGATTTGCCAAAGGTGCTCTAACTGCTGGGTTACAGCACATAGATACAGCCCCTAATCCCTTGACCCCAGGATCACGTCTCCAGCCAACACAACAAAGAATACCCCTCCAAAGGATACTTGGGACCAACCTATTTTAAGAAGTAAAGCAAATAGTTGTTCCAATCACTTCTGAAATCTCTAGAGGAGGATGACCCAAGTGTGCTTCAGGGAAGAACCCTACTAAGAGGCCCTCAAATCAACCATTCTTTAAGGCTGAGATCCATTAAAAGTGCAGATGTCTCACAACAGCATACATACCTCCTTCCAACTCAGCTACATGCCTGTCTTTTACACACTGGATACAAATCAACAGGATAGCACAAAGTTGCCCCTCAAATCATTTCTTCCTGCAGATTTGATACTCTATGCAGAGGAGTAGGTGGAGAGAAACTGGGGAGTCCTCTTCTCCTGTGCAATCTATGAAATGTACTGATTTTTACCCTCATCTGAAACCCTTTATCTACAGACTTCTGCTCTGAAAAAGCTGACCTCATATCCAGGGCCACATGAAAGGACCACGCGTACACTAGGAGTAGGGAAGCGGCTTTGTGCCGTCTGGGCACTGTTTTCAGCCCTCTTGTCCTACAGACTTGAAGTGTACTTTTCTCTCTCTTCACCTCCAAATAGTCCTCAAGTGCCACAGAAGGGACCACTAAAGGGTTCCAGAGAAGGGCATTTCACTAAGAGGGCTCTTCCTCTCTGGGTTCATGCTGAGGAACCGCAGGTTAAGCCACTGTCTGAGACACCAGCTCTAGTCCAAGCTGCTCCACTTCCAATTCAGCTCACGGTTAACATGCCTGGAAAAGCAGCAGGGGATGGCCCAAGTACTCGGGCCCCTGCCACCCACATGAAGACCTGGATGGAGTTCCAGGCTCCTGATTTCAGCCTGGCCCATTCCTAGATGTTATGGTATTCGGGGAGTGAACCAGGAGATGGATTCTCATTCTCTCTCTCTCTTTCTCTCTCTCTCTCTCTCTCTCTCTCCAAAAAAAACAAAAACAAAACAAAACAAAAAACTCTTCCTCTCTTCCTACAATGAAGTTTCAGATTTAGATTTCAGACAATTGGGCAACAATGCCCCAATAGGATTTAGATAAGAGAATCACTGTATAACCTACTAAAATATTTCTCTCATATTGGAGAGCTGATTTTTAAAAACCTGATAAAGACTCTCAGTAAAGTACTTTTAAAACAACCAATAAGGACAGGCATTCGGCCTTGCAGTTAAGATCTCACTTGAGATACCCACAACCCCTCTCAGAGTACCTGGGTTCAAGTCCTGGCTCCATTCATGATTGCAGCTTCCTGTTAACACACAGGAGGCAGAGGTAATAAGTAGTTGGGTCCCTGCCACCCATATGGTTTCTGGCTTGAGTTCCTGAATCCCAAGCATCTGTGGAGTAAATCAGTGGGTAAAAGATTTTCTCTCTCGCTCGCTCTCTTTCTCTCTCTCCCCCTCCATCCCATATCTATGTATGTGTTTATGACTCTCTCTGCCTCTCAGATAAAATTTTTAAATAAATAATATTTTACAATAAAATATTTTCTTTTTTCAGGATAAACTGAAAGCTGGCAATGCCTTGGCATTCTTGGGTCTTGAGAGAAAACAATTTGAATGACTGGATTCACTTTCAAAGCAAACTTTCAAGAAGATATTTCAAAAAAATATGTGTCATACATACGTTACTAAAATCCTATTTAAAACTACTTTACCCAAAAATAGAATATCCCTAAATATCTTAAATTATTCTTAACAAAAATTATTCTCAAGTGTTTTCATTCTAAAAAGCAGTACATTATTTCTTGTGCAAATCAAAAATTATTTTCCCAGTGTCTCTCTAATTTATCTGGAAAAGACAGACTATTTTAATGTCATTAGTGATTTATTTAGAGTAAGAACAATACCAGATTCATCTTTCAGGTCTCACATCTGGTTCTCCATTTTGATCAAGGATATGTTAACTGGGACAAATAACCTGTTTTATTCTTCATTTTAAAATGTTTATTTTTATTTATTGTCATCTACTTGAAAGGTAAAGTGACAGGAAGAGAGAGAGAGATCTTCCTTGTCATTCACTCCATTTTTTTGCTTTTGTTTTTTTAAATTTCTGTTTTAAACATCATCACTTATATTTAAACATAAATACATATTATTAAAAGTGTATTGGGGCTGGCGCCATGGTGCAGTATGTTAATCCTCTGCCTGTGGCGCCAGCATCCCATATGGGTGCCAGTTCTAGTCCTAGCTGCCCCTCTTCCAATCCAGCTCTCTGCTGTGGCCAGGGAAAGCAGTAGAAGATGGCCCAAGTGCTTGGGCCCCTGCACCCATATGGTAGACCAAGAAGAAGCACCTGGCTCCTGGCTTCAGATCAGCACAGCTCCAGCCATTGCGGGCATTGGAGAGTGAACCAACAGAAGGAAGACCTTCTCTCTGTCTCTCCCTCTCACTGTCTAACTCTACCTCTCAAGTAAATAAATAAAATCTTTAAAAAAAAAAGTGTATATAGTCTGGCACTGTGGTTTAACAGGTAAAGTTGCCACCTGCAGTGGTGGCATCCCACATGGGTGCTGGTTTGAGTCCCGTCTGCTCCACTTTCAATCCAGCTCTCTGCTATGGCCTGGGAAAGCAAAAGAAGATGGCCCAAATCCTTGGGCCCTTGCACCCACATGGGAGACCAGAGAGAAGCTCCTAGCTCCTAGCTTCAGATCAATGCAACTCCAGTTATTGTGGTCATCTTGGGCGTGAACTAGCAGATAGAAGACCTCTGTCTCTCTCTCTCTCTGCTTCTGCCTCTGTAATTCTGTCTTTCAAATACATAAATAAATCTTAAAATAAAATAAAAGTGTATGAACACACATCAAAAAAGTAGTTTGTATTTAAGCAGGGCAAAACCAGGGTAGTCTTGTTCTACTCACTTTATTTATGGTCACACTGGGAGGGGTGACAAATACCTCTGGCTGAATTCTAAAAATAAAATAAAATTTTCTCAAACTACCCTCTTATTTTGGATCTTTTTCCTTGTATTTTTCTAGAAAATCAAGAGTTGAATGTGGACACATAATCTGTGCTGGCCCTTTTACAGAGTAAAAAAGAGATCTAATTCTTACTGAACTATGTTCACCCCATCCCATTATTTCCACTTTATACATGTAGTTAATTGCTCCATCTCTTTCTCGCCCTTCCTGTTGCTTCTAGGATTCTACCCCCCCCCAACTCTGCTTATTACTTCAATCTGCTTAGAAAGAAAAACAATTTTGAGCAAAGCACCATGTATTCTTGTATTTTCCCTCCTAAATCTCCGAAATGTCTACCCCTTTTCAGTTATTCTTTATTTGAGCACGTTAAACATAGTATTCAATGTTTCTCATGGAAGTAACCTGATCACTTTACCTGCTATCATGTATATATTAAGTGAATGGGTATAGTCGTCTACCCAGATACCCATATACTCATATCCACAGTGTTTTCTATGTGCCAGGACTGTGGCAACTCTCCAGGAACTGGGTATACAGAAGTAAAGAAAAAGGATAAAATGTCTTCTCTGACAAAGCCTACAATCTGGAAGGTGAGAAACATAAGGAGGGGAGAATGCAAAGAGGAAAGAAGGAAGGAAATTTTACTTCTACTGATAAGCACTATGAAGAAATTAAAATAGAGAAGTGTGATAATCATTGGGAGAAAGATGGAGGGTAAAATATGAAATTGTGGTGCCAAAGAAAGTTTTTGTAGAGGATTTTGAAGTGAAACTTGAGTAACAGAAGGGACAGACATGGTGAAGAGCCTTCCAGGTGATGTGTAAAGTCTGAGGCAAGGAGCTTTGAGGCTGGATTATGTGAGCCTGGGAAAGAGACATAGACAATGAAGCCCAAAAGCTGACCAGATCAGTAGACCACACTCAACAGTTCAGATTCTTATATTAAGTTTCATACGAAGCCATTTGATGTTTAAACAGGTCTGTGTTGCACTCTGGCTTGTGTAAAAAACAAAACAGCTACATAAAGAATATTAAAGGGGGTTGAGAATGGAAGTAGGGAGAATAGGCAAGAAATGATGTTGATGCAGGCAAGACTAGGGAAGCTGAAATGATGGACTGAATGTGAGGAAGAGGAAAGAAATGCAGGAAAAAAATCAACAATAACAACTCATGATGTGTGTGTAATGTGTGCACACCATGGTTTATTCAAGCAATCCTTATATCTGGACATTCAGATAATTTCTAATATTTTACAAATATAAATAATACTGCAATGGGCGTTCCAAGGTGGCGGAATAGTGATAGGACAGTCCAAATCACGCAGGGCAAGATTAGTATCTAAAAAGGGTAGGAACTACACATTTGAGATAAAGCCATGGGGAATTCACAGTGGGAAACCCAGCAAGAACAACAGGGACAATCCAGGTCTGTGTCAAAAAAATAAAAAAAGCAGAGGCTTGAACCCGGAGAAGAGAATGCTGGCCCCGGCAGACCAGGTCAGAGGGAATCTGCAGGTCCACAGAGCGGCAGATAGCAGCATGTGGGAGTGCTTGATGAAGTGGCTTTGAAGTTCCACATGGGGGGGAAAAAATGAATAGGGACATGGCATATCTCCCCACTCCTCACCCCGCCCTGCAGGGACCAGCAGCCACTGGGAGAAGCCATTCCACTCCTTTGTTGGTTTGTTTTTCCTAATTTTGGATGCAGGCAAGTGGGTGCTGTGCCTGCCTCCCATGCGTGTCCCGACAATAGTGGGGGTCACTTCACCCCTACACCCAAACAGCAAAGGACACAACAATTCAGAAGAATTCATTTCCCTCATGCAAGCTGTAGGGCAAGGGAAAGCCTCACCTATTGGAAGCTCAAGCCCGTCCACCAATATTTAGAAGTGAGCTGGCTTCCAGGAGGCTGGGGCTCCTCACACACACCTGCGTCCCACAGACCCACAGAAGCTAATAACAGAGGGAACCGTGCTCACAGGAGATGCCGCAGCTCAAAAGTGCAGTTAATTAAGCAGTGTGAACCAGTGCTGAAAACACCAGGCACTAACACCAGGGTGTCCTGCAGCTGGGGGAGGGAGGTGTCACACCAACACAAGTGAACACCCTCCTCCATCCAGATAACCAGAGAGCTACAAAGCCCCTTAGGGGCCTTACATTAGGTTATTTGCTCCACCATGGAATGCTGAACAGAGCAACCAGGCCTCACCCAGCACACACCTCTTGGTACTCACTGAGAAAGCACAGACATCTCACTAAGCCACAAAGATACAAAACAAAGATAAAAGCAACCAGTTCCCCCTCCCCAAAAAAACTACTGAAATGCTGAAAAAAGGAAAAAACATAAGTAAAAATAAGGAAGACATTATGAGCACCCCCAAAGGAACTCTACAACACTTCAATAGTAGAAGGTAAAGATGAAGAGATTGAGCATATGCCAGAAATGGAATTCGGAAAATTAATCATCAGATTACTTAGAAGCAACCAAAAGAAAATTCATGAACTAAATGAAAATTTTTCCCATGAAATTGAAATATTAAAGAGAAATCAGAATGAAATACTACAAATGAAGAACTATATAAATCAAATACAAAACACAGTGAAAAGTCTTTTTTTAAAAAGATTTATTTATTTATTTGGAAGTCAGAGCTATACAGAGAGAGGCAGAGAGAGAGAGAGAGAGAGAGAGGGAGAGAGAGAGAGTTCTTCCCTCCGCTGGTTCATTCCCCAAGATGGCTGCAATGGCCGGAGCTGCACTGATCCAAAGCCAGGAGCCAGGAGCTTCTTCCAGGTCTCCCATGCAGGTGCAGGGGCCCAAGGAATTGAGCCATCTTCTACTGCTTTCCCAGGCCATAGCAGAGAGCTGGATCAGAATTGGAGCAGCCAGATCTTGAACCGGTGCCCATATGGGATGCCAACGCTTCAGGCCAGGGCGTTAACCCACTGTGCCACAGTGCCAGCCCTTAGTGGAAAGTTTTGTTTTGTTTTTTTTTTTTTATTTTTTTG